TGCTGTCCTTTTGCTTTATCTCCCATTGTCGACGCTCTTGAAGATTGATGATTCTCTTCCATCTCGCGTAAATAGTATAAACAGCACTTCTTCTGATCCCGATGTTCAGCACCCATCGAATGTTTCACCAATCCCAATTACTGCCACTATCCATCGACCACCCTCTGCTCCCCCTACTCCAACAAAACGCCATCCTTCTCGTTTCAAGCGTCCCAATAAGAAAGATGACTCTGTCAATTCAACTTCTTCAATCACTGACAGTATTGACTCATCCGCTTCTGGTTCAAGTTCGCGTCCAGGGGAAGCGAACTCGAGCTGGAATGGGCGGCCATTGTCAACTATAAGTATCGAGGAGAGCCGAATAGTCGTCAGAGATTTTGTTAAGGCTGATGGAAATGTGAGTAGCGTCAACGCGAGTGGAAGTGGAGGAAAGACAAAGGGTATAGGGAGATTGAAAAAGAGGATAGGCAGTGGAAAGAATGATCAAGAATGTATACTAATGTGATTGAAAGGAAATATGCTGCCGGAAAGAGATTTCAACTGAAGGGATTATTCTGAAATGTGTGTTCGATATCCGTACTTGGATTTATCTTTGTACGTGTAGATGATCATGATACATTAGGCAAAGTACTAGTTTCGATGACACTCGTATTATTTAAATTAATTTTTGGGGCTTATCGAACCCTATGTGATATACACAATTTTTTTTTGTAACATAATTTTTTTTTATTTCTCCTCGTAGTTGTCCCAAAATAATAATTATAATTAGAAGGCTAGCTTGCAGGACGGACACCTGCAGAAAATTTCTTCTATGCTCTATTGCTTTTCTAACGTTCAATACAGAATTCAAAAAACTTTATTTTGACATGTCTCATATTTTGTGGTATTATGTAGAATTTTCACATCATAATAATCGCTTTCCATAGCATGACAAAACCTGCTTTGGACTCGTGTGGTGTTCGTTGAAGTATTGCACAGATGATGAACAGGGCGTCTTATTCAGTGATCTGTTGGTGGTTCTTCTAGTAGCATGACCCAGATCATTCATTATCGATTTTTTTAATCAATGAAAAATGGTGTTTCAAATGTTATCGAAGAACAAGTATCCTATTATCGTTCTAAAGCGAAGTGGTAGTATCATGCTGAATATCACACAAATTCGTCAAAATATCTTATCAAGCTGGGCTGAATTATTTTATATCTATACAATGGGATTATGGTAAAAATGCCCGTGAGATTGCCGATGCCCTTGGGCATTCACAAACGCAAGTTATTATCTCGACGATTTTAGTATGTCTGTCCTATTTGCTATATACAAGTGAAACTCGGCTTATCTAGATTTTTGCTTTACCAAATTTCGCACTAAGCCGAATTTTTATATATATTTGCACAAATTTTCGACTTACAATTCAACAGCATAAAATTTGTTAATTAATGGTAAAACGAAAGAATACTTGTTTGCTGTAACGTATTCTGATGTTTAGTCTCAATTATTCTCTTTAATTTTCTTAAGTTAGATAGATAAGAAAGTAATATCAACGTCGAGTTCGTTGTCACAATCTTGACTAACATATAAAAGCAAAGAATTGACGTGCTCGAGAGCTGATTTATGAGACTATTGTTTGAACCAATCAATACAAATTCACATAAAATTATTATTGTCGGTTGTTCGAAAACTATCGGCTTACCTTTTAACGTAAATTTCAGCTTACGCTATAATAAAAATTTCACTTGTATTTAGCACCTCTGTACAACATGTTAAAACTAGCTTTAGCGGGCCATACCTTGGTACAAATATATCGTACATGCTCCACCCCATCGAATTACGTTTTTACTGAATTAATTACATACTGATATTAAGTTACAGTCCTACCTCATTTATATCCCCATCTTGGGGCGGGAATATATTCGAGGTGGGATACATATGACTGCCACTTCACAAAGCTATATATATAGCTTTATAATGATAACTTTTTTCGAAAAAGCACAATTAATTAGCTTCAAAAAACCATTGTCATTTGTCTACACCTACTACACATGGGCAGGAGAAGAAAAAAATTCTGTTAATAAAATTTGGCGGGCGTTTTGACGTCTTATAATTTGCGCTTTGGAAGAGGAGATATGTTGTGTTTATATATATCACTTTCTGTTGTAAACGCTAACTTTAATTTTAGCCTCGATAATTTGGAAGAAGACTCAAAGCGACGATTTATGTGGCCTGAATTTATTAAAAGTGGCATTGGTGACAAACCTGGTATAATAGATTATTATATGATGACTGATCTATGAAAATGGGTAGTTGGGGTTTAAGTGGGATATACATGGCTGGGCATGTTAGACCCACTTATCGAGAACCACGTGTCCAATATGTTAAATTTATATAATATAGGATAATGTAGAATAAATAGACAAAAATGAATGCGTTGAAGAAGTCATTCTTTTTTTCTTAATCCTGAAACGAATGAACTGTCTATTATGCTGAAGATATCATTGTTGTTTACAATACAAACAAGAATCTTTAATTTGTCTTATGCGTATACAAGTACAAATAATAATAAAATTTATCGACTAAAATAGTAATGATGTTCCCGGATGTCACGTGAGGCCGACTTATCGAGTGTGATTTACATATAACATTAAAGAAGGTTGGCCGACTTACAGCTTTACATATGTCGACGACTTATCGAGTTTCCTAAAAGTTTCGGTAGCACGATGCAAGAAAGTCAAATTTGCCCTTGCCGATCAATAGTAATAAGCGACGCTACAGTTCTTTTTCCTGTCCGTACTTACAAGTTATAAGGCAGACATATCTGTATAATGAAGTAAAAAGGTTTGCCGATGATTTTTATAACGATATATATACTTTGTCCCAGACCGCCAGAAATTAGATAAAGTCTACTCGTTGATTATTGGTCGTTTATATTTGGGGGATTAAAAAAAA